TCATCAGCAAATATACGATAATCACTATCAAAATTACATCCTATATCATTAATAAAAATAATGAAAATAAGTGGACCCAAAACAGATCCCTGTGGTACACCTGACATGTGACCCCCAATTTTTACTTGCTGGAATCGATCAGTTAGATAACTGTGAAACCACTCTAAAAGCGAGCCAGCAAATCCATAAACAGACAGTTTTTGTAATAAAATGGAATGATTGATTTTATCAAAGGCCTTACTAAAGTATGTATATACTGAGTGTACCTCTATACCAAGACCAAAAGAGTCCACAACTTCATTTACGTACGAAAAAAGATTAGAAATAGTTGAGCGTTTTTGAAAGAATCTGTGCTGTTCTGGAACTATAAGGCTACTTAGTTGGTAAGATAATTTGGAAAGTACAATGGTTTCAAATAATTTAAGAATCGCCGACAAAATTGACACTCGACGGTAATTTTCTATTTTGGACGTAAAGCCAGATTTATGAATAGGCACAATAAATGATTGTTTCTAAAATGCTGGAAATATACCACTACTCAACGACAGATTAAATATTATACAGGGTTATTCATAAATATGAAGCAATATTTGAACCTCAAAAAAGACCTATAAAATGATGTTAATTTAAATAATAACTCGTGTCCTATCTCTACTGATAAGAATTTTACAGCCCTCGGAATGTGGGTATGGAAATTTGATTTTTTTGTAATAACTTTGGAACTATTTGACTAAATATTATAAAATTTGGAACATTTCCCTGTGACAACATACCCTTTAAACTGGTAATCACGAAAACCGGATACATCCACTCAATTTCCGGTTCCAGCAGTTGCAGGTCACATTTTCTGTGTTTTTCCATTTTTTTGCTCTCTTAACACCAATTTTTTATTGCCCAAAACGATAGAATTATCAATTTCGATTGAAAAACGCATAACCTTTAATACCCCTAAAATGGATCGTTTCAAAGATATTTTAATTTAAACTGAGGACTGCACAACGCTGAAACCAAAAAGTAGGGATTTTGAATGGGTGATATACACGGTAACAAATGGCCATGGTCTCACTAATCGCTGCCAGGTGATAAATTTTTTTGAATTATTTATAAATTAAATGCTACGAGATCGATTTGGATTTATTGTAGATTACGTTTGGAGTCTGAAGTAAACTCTTTTATTAAATATTTTCAATTAATCGCCCAAGAATGGTCCAATGTCAAAGTTGACAGATGCCTGACAGCGATTTGTGAGACCATGGTCATTTGTTGCCGTGGATATCATTTATTCAAAATCCCTATTTTTTGATTTCAGCGTTGTGCAGTCCTCAATTTAATTAATCCTAATTAAAATATCTTTGAAACGGTCCATTTTAGGGGTATTAAAGGTTATGCGTTTTTCAATCGAAATTGATAATTCTATCGATTTGGGCAATAAAAAATTGGTGTTAAGAGAGCAAAAAAATGGAAAAACACCGAAAA